CACCTACCATAAGAGATAGTCAACAGATAAACCCGAAACTGGACAACGGCAAACCTGGCCACTGTTGGCACCTACCACAAGAGATCGTCAACGGATAAACCCTAACTTGGACAATGGCAACACTAGCTACGGTTGGCACCTACCACAAGAAATCTCTGAAGATTTCTGTGTGTAGGCAAAACACTACCCGCCCGACAAGGGTTTTGCTTAGAATAAAACCCTAAACCCATAAAAGGTGAAAATTTGGGTGGCTGGGGTGGGCTACCCAATACAACACACGGCGGTGCCTCCCCTTCGATATCTCGGGGAGGCGCCGCCGTGGCACTAAAGGACGCCCTAAACCCTAAACCCTAAAACCCTAAACTGAAGCGAGCGATGTTGTCCGCGACGCTTAGGAGCTCTGAACATCGCGAGCGCTACCCGCACGCTGAGTGCCGGGCATCGAAAAGAATTGAGATGAAGGAGCCTGACAAGGTGAGCACAAAGAGTTAGCTTTGTGCTCCGTCCCGCATTTGTATCCTTACATAAAGGGTGCATAGCGCAGTCTGCGCTTATAGTTTATACTAGTATATTTTAATACCCTAAAACCCAAGGTCTGGGACCCGAAAGGGTCTGTGAAGTTTTTCCTTGCTGGGTGTCCCAAGCTGTCCAATAGGTCCTTTCCTGCCTCCCTGGTGCCTCTCAGGCTGTCCAAATGGTCCTTTCATGCCTCCCTGGTGCCTCCCAAGCTGTCCAACAGGTCCTTTCCTGCCTCCCTGGTGCCTCCCAGGCTGTCCACTAGGTCCTTTCCTGCCTCCCTGGCGCCTCCCTGGTGCCTCGCAGGCTGTCCAATTAGTCCTTTCCTGCCTCCCTGTGCCTCCCAGGCTGTCCACTAGGTCCTTTCCTGCCTCCCTGGTGCCTCCCTGGTGCCTCGCAGGCTGTCCAACTAATCCTATCCTGCCTCCCTGGTGCCTCGCAGGCTGTCCAACTAGTTCTTTCTGCCTCCCTGGTGCTTCCCTGGTGCCTCCCAGGCCGTCCACTTAATCCTTTCCTGGCTCCCTGGTGCCTCCCTGTTTCTCCTAGTCTGTCCAAGAGGTCCTTTCCTGCCTCCCTGGTGCCTCCCTGGTGCCTCCCAGGCTGTCCAAATGGTCCTTTCCTGCCTCCCTGGTCGGGATTCCTGGTGGCTCCCTGGTGCCTCCCAGGCTGTCCACAGGCTGTCCAAATGGCCCTTTCCTGCTTCCCTGGTGCCTCCCTACGGGACGATGCCGATCGGGAAGGTCCGTGAAGTCTTATCTTGTTGAGTGGCTGTTTCGAGCCTCCCGGCTTTGCAAGTGACCTCTTGGCGCCTGCGGGCTGTCGACGTGGCCTTTCAAATCCAGCCTTGCCGTGGCAGATTGCTGGAGTCACCCGGTCTTGCTTTAGCAGATGACTGGAATGGCTATTGCCAAAGTGCACCCAACCAAATGCCTACGATCATATCCGTAATCTCTGCTTCGATTGCAAATTTCTGGATCATCTGGCCCTGGGATTTTCCCCTTGACAGTACCCCTTGCTTAGACTTTAATCAATCCAAATGTTTCTGCTTCAATTGGCTACTGCCAAACTGCCCCCAACCAAAAGCCTAGGGCGACATCAGTGGTCTGTATTTCAATTGATTGCAACTAAATGGATCCCTGCTTTCATACTATGGTCCTTGCTGTAATTGGCGACCGCCAAAATACCCCCAACCAAAAACCAACATCCAAACCCAATTTGAAAAATGAGCGCAGCTCTGCCCGCCCGGCCCAGGGTTTTCATAAAAAAACCCTAAACCCTAATAGATTACAAGTTTGGGTGGTCTTGGGGTGGGTTGTAGCGTCCAGCTACGACGCGCCGCCCCGCGACCCTTTGGGTCGAGGCGCGTCGCTTCCCACTGGAAACCCTAAACCCTAAACCCTAAATTCCCACCCAGGCCTGCTTAGGCCGTTCCCACCCATAACTGGGTGGCCAGACACTGAAGATACCCGGCAGCCCATCACCCCAGCTCATGGTAGAACAATGGGTGGTGCCATTGGAGAATGGTCTAATAGAGCCTCTAAGGCTTAGCTTTGCCTCAGGACAGCTATCGCTGTGCCAATCCTTTACAAGGATACCTTGATATACACTTAGAACGTGAATACCCTAAAACCACGTTGCAAAGCCCTCCACCGGCCTCGTAGCACAGGATTGCCTTTAACAGCCCCTGGTGCCTCCCTGGTGCCTCCCAGGCTGTCCAAATGGTCCTTTCCTCCCTCCCTGGTGCCTCCCAGGCTGTCCAATTGGTCCTTTCTTGCCTCTCTGGTGCCTCCCTGGTGCCTCGCAGGCTGTCCAATTAGTCCTTTCCTGCCTCCCTGGTGCCTCCCAGGCTGTCCAATGAGTCCTTTCCTGCCTCCCTGGTGCCTCCCTGGTGCCTCCAGGCTGTCCAATTAGTCCTTTCCTGCCTCCCTAGTGCCTCCTAGCGCTTCCCAGGCTGTCCAAATGGTCCTTTTCTGCCTCCCTGGTGCCTCCCTGCGGAGTCCCGGGGTCCCTGGGCACCCCACATAACTCTCTAGAGCCTCCCAGGCATTCCACATGGCTCTTTCGAGCCTCCCGGGCCTTTCTCAGGGCCTTTCTCATGGCCTTTCCACGACTCCTGGCCTCCCGGGTAAACAGACTCCAGCCTTGCCTTGGCAGATTACTGGAGTCATTTGGCCTCCTGGGGCCTCCGGGCTGTCCAAATGGTCTTTCAATGGCGCTTGGCTGTCTCCCGCGCAAGCAGAATCAAATCTGGCCTTGGCAGATTACTGGAGTCAGTTGGTCTTGCCTTGGCAGATTACTGGAATCATCCGGTCGTGGGAATTTGGGGCGGAGCCCTAAACCCTAAAAGGCGGAAATTTGGGTGGTAGCCTGCCACACCTGGCGGCGGGAGGGAATGTAATTTACCACCGCAAGTCTTGTGGGGTAAAAAACACCGACAACGATGAACCGGCAACCGCTCAGATGCCACCACCCCCTCTATTTAAAAGAAAAGGGGGTGGTGCCATCTTCGCATGTGATCTTCAGCTGCCACGCGGCCGAGACGCCCTAAACCCTAAACTAAGAGAGAGGGCGATGGCGCTATACAGCAGCCCTCGAACGCTGTTGCCGAGACCAGGCAACGCCCGAGCAGCTCCGCTGTGAGTGGCTTAACAATATTGCTCGCAGAGAATATACGTCTGCAGGAGGGTAAAGCCTCCTGCTGGACCTGAAACGGACGACAGCAATATAAGGCCTTGCCCTACCACTACGTGAAAATACGAACAGGCGTGACCGTATTCACGCCACCTTTATTGTATAATAAAGAATGACCCCAAAGCCTGGGCCATTTTTCTCTGGACGTGGTAGTTTGCAGAAGGTTTTGGGTTTAGGGGTGGTAAACTTTGAAGGTTTACAGCCCGGGAAGCTACGTGGGCCCTTTTTCGGCGGCCCGGGAGGCTCTACAGACCCATTTGGACAGCCCGGGAGGCTCCAGGACGGCCTAAGTTGCTGGAGGGGTAAACTTTGAAGGTAGCCCGCTCGGGAGGCTACGTGGGCCCTTTTTTCGACAGCCCGGCCTTTGAAATGCCGCTTGGAGCACAGGATTCCTTTTGACAGGGAACCAGGGAGGCACCAGAGAGGCAGGAAAGAACCATTTGGCAGCCTGGGAGGCACCAGGGAGGCAGGAAAGGATCAATTGCACATAGACAGCCTGCAAGGCACCAGGGAGGCACCAGGGAGGCAGGAAAGAGCCATTTGGACAGCCTGGGAGGCACCAGGGAGACTTGTAGCACAGGATTGCCGATCGAATCTCGGTTTTGGAAGGGCGCCGGATTTTGTCTAACTTTTAATACAATTTCAATGGCGAACGGACCGGTTCGCCGCAAATCTTGGGGTGGGCGCCACAGCCGGCTGCCCAGCACAGACCGCTCGGAGCACAGGATTCCTCTTGACAGGGAGGCACCAGGGAGGCAGGAAAGGGCTATTTGGACAGCCTGAGAGGCACCAGGGAGGCAGGAAAGGACTCGTTGGACAGCTTGCGAGGCACCAGGGAGGCAGGAAAGGATCAATTGGACAGCCTGCGAGGCACCAGGGAGGCAGGAAAGACAGCTTGCTAGGCACCAGGGAGGCAGGAAAGGATCAATTGGACAGTCTGCGAGGCACCAGGGAGGCACCGGGGAGGCAGGAAAGAGCCCCTCGTAGCCGTAATTTTCTACGCTCTTAAACGGCCTGCGACGCC